TTTCGGGCTCTAGCCCATGGTATTTGTGAAGGAATTTGGTTAGGAAGGCTTCTGCAGGAGTTGAAGATCTCCTATTCCCTACCTATCAGATTATATTGTGTTAATAAGGCTGCTGTCAGCATTGCTCAAAATCCTGTTCATCATGACAGAACAAAACATGTGGAAGTTGATCGTCACTTTATCAAAGAGAAGTTAGAAGACGGTAGTGTATGCTTGACATATATACCTACCAAGGAACAGACGGCAGATATCCTCACCAAAGGATTACTTAAGCCGACCTTTGAGAATTTGATCAGCAAGTTGGGAATGATCAATATATATCTCCCAACTTGAGGGGGAGTGTAGAATATGTAGAATATTCTAGATAGTATTTATTGATGTAGTTGGTAGTTGTATATTTATTGATGTAGTTGGAGGTTGCATATTTATTAAAGTAGTTGAGGTAGTTGGATGTACTCAATATAAAAAGGACCCATTGGGTCTTTCAATGAATCAAGAAAGTATTATTCAGATAAAACACTTCTTCCACTTCTTCTTTTCATTCACTAATATATCATCAAAAAAAACTAGAGCCAATTTCCTTAGAAACGGCCTTAAAATGTCATTCATTAAGGCTTGGAAGGTAGAGGGAGCATTGGTTAGCTCAAAGGGCATCACTAAATACTCGTAATGCCTTTCATGTGTTCTAAAAGCTGTTTTGGGAATGTCCTCTACCCTCATCCTAATCTAGTGGTAACCAGATTTTAAATCCAGCTTGGAATAAATCTGTGAACCCCCCAATTCATCTAATAATTCATCCACCATGGGCATTGGGAATTTGTCAGGAATTTAATTTTATTCAACGCCCTATAATCAACACAGACACGCCAGCTCCCATCTTTTTTCTTAACTAAAATCTCTGGGCTAGAATAAGGACTAGTACTATGTCTAATCATGCCATTTCCAAATAACTCAGCAACTAATTCTTCTATTTCAGTTTTTTGGTAATGAGGATACCTGTATGGGCGGATGTTTGGTACAGTACTCCCAGCCTGCAAATGAATGGCATGATCAATTGGCCTCTCAGGTGGCAGCCCCTTGGGTTCACCAAAAATTTCTGCAAATTCGGCTAACAACTCCTGCAGCTCCTGCCATTGTTCGGTTTCATCCTCTGCTACAGCTAATGAGGCTTTCACATAAAATCCTTGACCTTGGTCACTAAGTGCTTTACTAATTGACTTATAAGACACCTCAGACCTGACACATGAAGGATCGCCCTTAATCACTGTCTCCTTCCCTTTCTCCCCATACTTCAAGGTTAATTCCTTGAAGTTCGCTTTGACTTCCCCCAATTGGGTCAACCATTCAAGGCCAAGCACTACATCTGCACTTCCAAGTTCGAACAGGTAGAGATCTTGTTGAATCTGAGCACCTTGGATATTAAGTCTCACTCCCTTGCACACACCCGTACACCCAATTTTAGATCCATCTCCAATTTCCACTTTATACACAGGAGTACCACGAACCTCCAACCCCAACTGCTCTGCAATTTTCTTCTTGATAAAATTACTAGATGCCCCACAATCGATCATCACCATCACCTTTTGGTTATGTATCTCTCCCCACACCATCAGAGTTTGGCTTGAAGTGAGCCCTAAAATACTTTGCAAAGAGAGTTGCAGTCCCTTCTCCTGTTCATTAACCTCTGAGGCCGTTGCTGCTACTGCTACTGCATCTTCTTCCTTTGTCTCATCATCAAGTTCGTCTTCGTCGTCCACCAAGAGCATGTGCAGTTGTTTGATTTTGCAGCGATGGGTTGGATGCCAACGTTCCTCGTATTTGAAACACAAACCACGTTCATGTCGGTCACGCCATTCCGATTGGGACAACCTCCGGCCCGGATTCGTGTGATTTTCAGGTGGTTGGCCTCCGGTGGCAGACGTCGAAGCTCGCGCGGTCATCCCTTCCTTAGGGATTTCAGCTACACTTGCTTTTTGGTTGATATGGGTCGTATGAGTTGTGTTGGAAATTTGGGCCTGAATTGTTTGAGGCCCAATTCCTTGTGTCTCCTGAGTTGGACCCTGTTCTCTGGTTGAAGGGCCCCCGGTTTCCCCCCATCGTCCATCCTCTCCCTATGGGACCCAAGCCTTCTTTCCAGGCATCATTTCTTCTCTCAATTTTGACTGCAAATTTCATCATCTCCGTTAGTGATAGCAAGGTGACATCACCAGCTCTGCACGGATGCTGCTACGAACCCCATTCAACCATGCCCCCTTAAGCAAATCTTCGTCTTCGAATCGCAGGGTGCTTATTGTTTTCTCGTATTCCGCTCGAAACTCAGAAACACTTCCATTCTGCTTAGTGTGTATAATGCACGGTACGGGTTGTCCAAAATCTCCGGTTGAAATCGACTAAGTAACTCGCGGCGGAACATCCCCCATTTGGCGTTCTGGTTGCTGATTTCCCACCACTGGAACCAGTGTAGGGCTTCTCCCTCTAGAACCACCAATACTGCCGCTAATTTCTCCGTCTCCTCCACTCCATTAACAATGAAGTATCTCTCCACTTTACCAAGCCAACCGAAAGCATCTTCCCCGTTGAAAATGGGGATTTCCAAACGTCTGTGTGCATGAGGAATCGAACAGGATCTCCTTGCGTTTCTCCCTTCTGGTTGACCAGAAGCGTTGTCCTCTTGATTGTTCTCTCCATCACACGACGGGTTTCGCCTTCTCCCAGCTAACTCATCCAACCTCATAAGGATCTTTGCCATTCCCCTTTCATTAACTACCAATCTCTGGATAACCTCTTGCTGCCTAGCTTCGTTATCATCAAGCCTTATCAACACTTCTTCTTGCCTAGCACTTCCTCTTCATAGGCCCTCCTCTACCAAATCTAATCGGTGTGCCATCAGTCGTGTCCAAACCATCCCACAGAGCTCCTAGATCGGAGCTCTGATACCAATTTGATACAGATCTCTTCCCATTTAACAACAATTATAAACAAACAGAAATGATTTGTCTAAATAACATCAGTTTTCTTGTTATAAATTTCTCAAAAGGAAATTACAATAGCAACACTCACTCAACTATGGAGTCAAGCTGCACTAATTTGATGGAATTAAACTGAAAGATAATGGCAGAAAACTAAAGATAATGTGCAACAATTATAGAGGTTACACTCTCTCCCAATCCCAATAAGGGCCAATACAAGATTCTCTCCTTTTTCTCCCCCATTGCTTCTCCACGCCTCTGTTTATAACTGCCTCCCATGTATCTCCCCGCTCCCCATTCTGTTACGGGGTATTTGTGGCATTCTCTACTTGACGTGGGAGTTCTGTTGCAATGCTTACTTGATTCCTTTGTTGGGCCATCAGTCTAGGATCTACTTGAGTCCTTTGGGCTTGGGCTTGACTCCACACCTTCCTTTCTTTATCCCTTTTATATTGCTTAATCTGAATTGTATCAGTATGCTAATGCTATCTATTGCTTCTATGGATTGACTGTTCTTGTGCTTAATTGATAGTGATTAATAATTTGTGGAGTATAGTGGAATCCCATGGTGATTTTTTCGTTGTTTATGCTGACTAAACTAATTTTGAGTGTTTAAAACTTAAAACAACTTGAAACCATATTTGTTGGGAAAAGCTTTTTATAGAGTAGCATTAGTAGAGGGATTTGAATTATGGCTTCATTTCCCTTTTGCTTCTGCTATGAATTTGTCATTTCCTTTTCGTGTCTGTCAAGTCTTTACCTGCCATTTCAAATTTCCATTCACTAATAGTGGTCCTACAGAAGTTCCCGATCATGGTGTGAATTGTTGGTGATTAATGGACTATTTCAATGTTTTCATGGTCCTTTCTAATACTCAAGAAAGGATCATATTGTTGCATAACACTAGGAGGGACTGATTTGTATATCTACTATTTCAACTACTTTTGTATTCATATTTCAGCACCATGATTTTTAAACTTGGACCGGACCAGCCTGTTGGACCAGGTTATCCGTCTTTCTGGAAAACAGCTACAGACCAGATGAACTGGTACTGAACTGTCCAAACTGTGCACGGTTTAACAGGTTCAACCAGTCCAAGGTTGATATTACTGTGCTGAAACCATAAGATAGGAATGAGGATCTGAACTTCAGACCCTCTGGTAAGCACCTCTCCAACCACCAGGCCAACTGTGGCTTTTACTTAAAATGCACATGTGATATTATATATAGATTTTTAGTTTAAATGTTACAATGAATTGGACTTGGGTTTATACCCATGGAATCAAATTAATAGTTATATATTATAAATATATTGTTATTAATACATTTTCATTTTTATAACAAATTATATATTGCATGGTTAAGTTAAAAATATGTGATATAGCTAAATATTTTTTCTTGATTTTTATACACATCAAATATGAATGTTATATTTTTCTGACATTTTGTTATATATGTATATATATGAAAATCTGGTTTAACCCCAGTTTGACTCTGGTTGAACCTTAAACCTCTCACTTTGCCAGTTAAATGACCAGTCCGGTTTTGAAAACATTGTTCAACATTCAGGACGGTTTGGGGAGTTCATTTGTCAGAGTAGAAAATGTCAAACACATTACATTCATCTTCTTGACCATACCTTAAAAAGGGTATTTAAGAAACTAAAGACATAAAACAACTGATTTTTATTTTATTTTATTTTTTTCCTGTTGGCTTTTAAGAGTAGTGAATCCTACTGGGCTGGTAAGTTTCTTGAAAGTGTTCCTGGCTAGTGCTTTGTGTAGTTTCTACTTGCACCCGAAACTGTTGTCAAATTGTATATCGAACCATGACAAATGATTTAAAGGGAAAATTGTTTACGATTTCATCCATAAACTAGTTTCATGATGTAATGTGTGGTCCATGCAGTGCATGATGAAAACTCATTTTTGAGCAGCTGTTTGATTATAACCTTTGGATACTGTTGCTTCATAATGGTGCTTGTCACATGCTTTTACTATATCTATTTAATTTTATGATCAAATATCACAGATTATATAGAGAAGAAGGCATCATCCGTTGGGTTCAATATGCTTTTCTTGCTTACTACTCGTACAGCAGATTGGTACGTACCTTCACAAATGCATGTGAAGCATATGTCAATATATTTACCTGTAATCAGTGTCATTTTGTTTGCTTTCAGTGGATTGTTACTTACCACATAATCTATCTATTCTTAGATAGTGCGTATGTATTTTAACTTGATGAATGCTTTTCTAAAGACAAGGATTACCAACGTTTTGACAGGTTTGTGAGGCGGGGTTTTTCAGAATGTTCAATTGATTCTATACCTGAGAAGAAAAGGAAAACGATTAATCTGTCCCGAAAATCCAAGTATTATATGAAGAAGCTTCTACCTAATAGGACTGGAATTACTGCTGGTAGGAAATTTACTTCCTGTTAGCGCTTTTCTTTTTCCCTCCTTACCAATGGGGAAGTGTGATTGGATCAAAGGTATTTATTTGGCACTTCTGTAGACTGTTGGTAATAATCTCATAATTATATGGTAGCTGGAAAATCATTTGCTATGACAAGCTCTCTTCCCCATATAGCATTCATTATTTATTGGTAGTATTTTATATCCAGATTTTGAGTTGTATATTTTTTTCCTCTTACCCCTAATCAGTAATGAATATTGATCTGCCAGTGGTTACTAATACAGGGACTAATAGATTTTTATTTTATTTTTGCATTTTCTTAAAATTAAGTGTATTTCATGTGTTTTATATTTTCATGTATCACCATAGAAGAACGTTCAAAATAGTATCCAGGGGTGTCTCATTCGGCTTCATTATCTCCGTTTACTTCGTCCCAGCCTTTCCTATATACTCATGTTGCTGGCACAAATTTGTCTGATTGTCTTAACTCTTAAGAGCTGATCATTTTATTAGCTGAACCATCAAATAGCAATTTCAAGGGTATTTGGGCAATTACACAATAAGAGTTTGGTAAATATTGCTTGATAAAGCCCATTTTGTTAAATTTTGTTTTTGGTTAGAGGAAACGTAAATCGATTATTTATCAAGATTCACGCTATCTGAATGGTAAACCGTGTGTTCGTATAAATAACATTCCTAAAAGATTTGTTATGTCTTTCATTTCACTTGAAGCACGTAAAAATAATTACTCCAAAATGAATTTTCCTCAACTTAGAATTTGAGGGTAAATCCTTGATTTTCAAAGCTTAAATTTTTACCAAATCATCAAATAGAATTCTTACTTTTGCATGTAGTTTTTTTATTAGGCCACACTACTAACAAGAGAGTAAGTAGCATTCCAGTAAAATAGAATTAACTCCATCACATAACTAATCTCTTTTAAAAAAAAAATAGAGAACGATCGCAACAAGCGAACTTTTCAAATTGGTTCCGCTAGAATGTTTGGACTAGGAGTTTTGAAAGGAAAAAACCTTTTGATTAAGAGTTATATAACATTTACAATGATAAATAAAAAAAGAATTAAAAATTTTCATTATAATATATCATTTTAAAAAATTCTTAAATTTAAGAATACTTTCTTAAAATTAAAATTTACCCCTTCCCTTTTTTTCTACCCCAAAGTTACTAGGAACATTAAAATTGAAATAGCGCTAAACATACATACAAAACAATTTTGTGAGGTTCTCCTTAGTTCCACCCACTCTATTGAAACAAGACGTACAGTTTTTTGAACCTCATTCTATTTATTCTGTTTTCAAAACGCATCAAATAAAGATAAAATCTCATGTCCTGCTGTGTCCCATTTTAACAGTCACCTAAACATTACATAAATTATATTAGGACAGACTAATTTCACAGAAATCTTGTGTACTTGGAAAATAACATGCCCATTCAACTAAAATAATACGTCACAGAAATTGAATATGTGCCGTTAGATTGATTTTATCAGGCCATTGAGTGTATTACTCTTAAAAGTATATCAACAAACATTTCTCGTTTCTCAGGAGCACTAGTTGTTGTGGATCAGATTGGTTCCAGGTAACAAGGTAGGGTCTGAATCAATCCAAAATACATGCAAGTGAATAGTCATCTATATCATAGAGGACAACTAGGGCAATGGCAGATCAGTCCCATTTATTTTTAATTAGGAGTTCACATTTAAACTTTCTTTTTCCAAGAAAAGATGCGGAAAAAAACTGCTTCACTTTGAAACTCCTGAAATACATGAACAAGAATACAAACCAACAAATCACTCTTCATCAAATTTCGGTGGGCCCTTCCATTTAAAGTTGTCTGCATATGACCTAACCTACAAACACAAGTAAACGTTGACACTCATCAGAGCAATTACAACTGTGGGCAGAAAGCAAGCACAAATTAAGTGGTGAAAGAAACTAACTCCACCGTCATTCAAATTAATAAAGTCATAATGCAAATGGTTAAAGATGTTCAAACCTGCAGCAATGGTGTGTGGTGCTTCTTGACCTGCAACAAGTTCAGAGCTTTGGTTAATGATAACAATAATAATAATAAAAATTGTTCAAATATGCGAAAAACATCTCATAATATCATGATTGTATCTTAGAATAATTTAGAATATCTTAGATTATTTCCTAAGATTGGTTTCCATATATCTATATATTTCATGATTTGTTTTCTTATTTAATTAGGATTAGAAGTCTTTTGTTAATATTCTACACACACACAAAAAAGAACTCTTCTGTTAATATAAATATAGCTCAGTATTTTGTCTTCTAAATCATATCAGTACATATTGCATTAATTTCATAGAATATTAATGAAAGTCCTACTTCTCTCCTTTTCTTTTGCTCTACCTAAATCTCTATAATTTCAACACAATATCAAAGTTACCATGCTCCGTAACCTTTCTCATCATTAGTCTGCTGATAATTTCCCTAAGATCCGAAGTTCAATTTTATTTCCATGATTATTTCTTCCTTCCTATTAGCTGTTTCTATGCTATGTCGTCTTTCCAGCAACCTCTTCTTCACTGTCACTATTGCCTGCCACCATCTATTGACTTTCTGACAAGTAACACCACCATCTACCTCTCCTCCAGTTCGGCCAATCTCTGGTGGTTTTAAGCCAAACCGACGTCATCTCACCATTCGCTGCACTGCCATTTGACGAACTTTCAGGGAGATTTTTTGTCAGAGACCACACCATAGGGCTCGTCTTGTCCAGATCAGCCCATCCCATGCGTTGTCCTTTCAGCAGTTCTGGCCGCCACTTATTGTGCAGTACTCAGTCTTCTCTCTTCTACCCAAATCTTGCCTCACCTTATCCGACTAGCACAATTCAGACTGGATTGGTGAGAACAGCTGGAAGGTGTCTGGATCTATAGCCTTTGCCCCAAATGCAGTCTGCCACCAATCTTTGTCCAAGATGTGGTCTAGGCCCTGCTGCTCTCATCGTCCCTTCTCCGACCATACCCAGTCAATTTCCAGCACCATTGCCATCTGTGACGTGGCAGATCTGTCTCGGATCTGTTCGGACTTTGGTGAGTCGCAAGGGATTTTGTATTGTGGCTTCTATTATGTGGTTTGAAAAGTTTTTTCTGTAGAATTTTCGTTGTTTGTCTACTGCTTGGCCCTATTCTAGCACTTGCTTCTATTTGATATATTTAGATTTGTTTTGTGACCCAAACCAACCGTTGTTTGTCTTGTTATTCTCTTCCCACCAACAATCACTCCAATGGCTTCTTTCTTACAAGTGAATTAGTGATATATTGGCTATGATTCATATCAGTCTTCCATTGTGAATCATTCTGATAGTGATTTCTCCTATCTCACTCATGAGTCACGCTCACAAAGTCACAATGAATTCTCCATGGATGAGATTCGCACTAGCCTCAGTTTCAATTTCAATTTTTTTGGGTCTCCTAAGTTCTCTTGTGGTTTGAGGCTTCCGAATGTTGTTTCTTGATGAATTTGGAATTTGGATAAGTTTTAGTTCTTGTGTATAAATATATATTTGGCAGGAAATTTTCACACAGGGTCATTCCAACGAAGTCTCTTCTTCCTTGGTTATACAACCTTCTAAGTTCTAACAAACTCTTCAAGATGATGATCATTTTAACCATCTTGTTGAGATGTCTTTCCAACAATGCTCATCCCTTTGATATCTACAACATCCCTGAGTTGTCTTTCCAGCCACATTATGTGGAGCCAAGAATATATTATTTGGTTTTTCCTTTTTAAAGGGTCTTTTATAACAAAGTTTAGTAAGCTTTAGCTTTAGGAAGTGTTAAAATATATGAAAAATACTCCATAATATCTTGATAATATCTTAGAGTTATTTAGAGTATGTTGGGGTTCCATTTGCAAGGTATGGGACTTGAAGTCCCACATTGGTTGTATGGGCAACTAATGTGGGGTTTATAAGGCCTTGGGCACTCCCACCCTTTGAGCTAGCTTTTGGAGTGGTGCATCTCAAGGTCTCATCAAATGGTATCAGAGCATCCATCACTTGGAGTTGTGCGTGGGGGCACGCACTAGGGAAGCGTGGTGGAATGTTGGGGTTCCATTTGCAAGGTATGGGACTTGGAGTCCCACATTGGTTGTATGGACAACTAATGTGGGGTTTATAAGACCTTAGGCACTCCCACCCTATGAGCTAGCTTTTGGGGTGGTGCATCTCAAGGTCTCATCAGAGTATCTTAGATTATCTCATAGGATTGGTTTCCACATATCCATATATTTCATGATTTGTTTTCTTATATAATTAGGATGAATCTTCTATAAGTTTAAATATAGCTTAGTACTTTGTCTCTTATGTTACATCATTATTCACAATATTAATTTCATAGAATACTATTGAAAGTCTCTCTTTTTCTCCTACCCATCCTAAATCCCTATGATTTCAACAACCCTACACATGAGGAAGACCAATGCACAAAAATGGAATGAATAGATTTATCAAGTGGCATTTTCTGTTTAGTTCCTAATGCTTGAAACAAAATCAAATGACTAACAAGCATATTCTAATGATAAACATCTCACAATCATCTGAAAAACTAGATATGTTGATTCTCCTAAGTTAGATTTCTGAGTGCAATATTGATACCCTCATTCTCCACCTTATAATAATTTATTTCAATAAGAACAGGTATGCACCATAACAAGAGGCACCCGACTCAAAAGATACAAAAATCTTCTCAGTGACCCAATATTTGAATAGCAAGACATACCACATATTCCCAACCATGTCTCATTGCAAATTCCTTTGCTGCTTCTTCACTATCAAAACTCAAGGCAGAATCACCAACATGGGAATACGGGTCCCCAGTAGATGTCCAGCCCATCAGTGGATTTTCCCACCTGTAAACACATTATTTAACATTAACGATTTGTTGACTGTTGAGCCATTATTAATGATTACAAATTTACTCATAAGATCAGTAAAATATAAAGTGTAATATTAGAATATTATACTGAATTTACTAGCAACTCTGCAAACTATTGAGGGATGCCCAGAATAATAAGAGAAACGTAATTAGCTTGAAATTAAAACATATGAAAATTACCAAAGTGCAGGAAATTTCAATGAGAGCATATTATGATTGAACAAGTTTCAATCAGAAATTTGTCAGTATATTTGGACAACAGATATCCAATGCAGATGCAGGAATCCCAAGTGCCCCCCTACCAGCTATCAAACTAATCACGGAAGAAAAATAATAATATAGAATCCAAATTGTATAATTCATATACTAATGATTAAACAAGCACTGAGAGAACCGTGAGAAAAAGAGAGAATCTACTTTTGGGTAGACAAGAAGTTGATCTTCCATTTTCCAACCTTCCCAGATCCTTGTTGAGAAGCAGTTCTAGCAGGAGAGTAAATTACAACCTGCATCACATTGTAAGTACATGACAAATGGCTAATTGAGTTTCAACAGTTAGAAAGAAAAAGCAGGGGATCTAGTGATGCATCAATTATTTGTAAACTTTCAACTTATAGATTGGTTTTAATTAAATCTAAACTTGACCATCTATATAAGATTGAATGTTCAAAATTAACTTCTCTTTAACTCTCATGCTCTCATTTGATATGCTTCCTATTGAATATTGATATTCCACTTAAACATCAACATGGTTGCAATTGAATCCATCCAAGCTAAAACTACTATGCTAAGCTTGCTCCATTAGTATCATAAATATGATATGAACTTCTAAACCCTTTTTTTTTTTTTATAAAAGAAGAAACACTTCTACCCATAATTAAACTAATATAAGAAAATTCGCGAATATGTTTTACAAATGAACGAACGCTAGGGTTTTGTAAACCAGTGACTACGCATTGTGGATGATTTAGAGCAGAAGGGAAAAAAAAAAAAAAAAGCGAAGCAATGAATTAAAAAAAATAAAAATAAAATAAGAATGAAAAATAGAGTAAAATACCCTCCTACGAAGGTGTTCTTGAGGAATTCCAGAAACCATTCCGATCTCGCCTGGTTTGGCCTCGACCAATGCATCGGTGGAGAAACGCCGGGCCAGGGTGGCGCGTAGGGCACAACCATGGCTCGCCGCGCGTCGCAGGGTGCTCGCCATCGTCGATGAGAATTCTGATTCTGTGAACGACAAGACCAAGTTAAAATGAAATTACCAAACCTCTCTTATGTTTCATTTATTGTTCCGCTAAATTTATCAGTTTGCCCCTATTAATTCTTCATATTAGAAATGTTGCCTTTAATATTTATGATTTTCTTGTTTAAAAATTAAATTCATTTATTTTTTTATTTTTTGATACAAAGATAGAAATTGAACACATAGCCTAACGGTTATAATTTATTAGAAATTAATAAATGTGACACAATAAATGCTGTTAATTTTCAATAAATTATAACCGTTAGATTGACAGAAATCAACGGTGATTAAATTAATTGTAAGAGTAGTAAACTTTTTTGGTGATAAGTGGATCCGTTCCCAATCTTCAATACTCCCAATCATGAAAGAGGGGATAAATTATCATATCCATCTTAAGAAAACAAACAAACGAAATGACAGTAATCACTGGATAAAATAAAAATTGTAAAAAGCAACGGCAATACCAACAAAAAATAATATTATCACAATATTAGACCATAATTACTTTTTTATTTTTTTATTTTTTTATTTTTTCCAGTTTTTTTGCTCATCCAAAATCTTAATCTAATACATTCCTCTAAATTAATATTTACAACCGGTGTGAAAATGCCCCACATTTGATGAAATGTCCCTAGGAATATATCCTCTCATGTCCAATTGTAGTATAATCATATCATATGATGAAACTGAAAAACTCAATAAGAGATCAATCATCAAAATTTTATTGACAAAATTTATAAAATGAAAAAGAATAAATATTCAAATCAATTGTTGATCGTTGATAATTAATTATTGACGGTTAATCTGTCATTGAATGACTAAGATTCATATAACCCAGTCATGTTGAAATTAAATATGAGAGAATTCATTCCCTGATTCTTTTTTAAATATTTCTCTTTTTCTCTTACATAAAATACAACAATAAACTCTTGACATTGTCTCTAAAGCTTTTTAAGTAGGTCATTTACTTTGTAAATTTTTAAATTTAAATTAAATTTTAAAAAGATTCATATAATTTAAAAAAATTAATAAGATTTTTATGTTTCTAATTCTTTTTATAATTTAACTAAGTCTTTAATTAGTTGTTTACTAATTATTAAATTATAACTAAGTTTTTATAATATATAACAACAACACATTATACCTTCTATAGTTATCAACATCCTTTTACACTTTTAGACATGTTAAAAAGATAAAATATAGTAAAATTATAAATTATTGGAAATTATTTAAAAATTCAACATTACTTGATTTGTTGCAACAAAAAAAAGTTAAGAGGGTTATACAAAGTATTGTTTAACTAATTTTACTGATAAATTGAGCCAGTAAATTTTTCACCTATACAAAAAATTTATCAATAATAAAAATATTCACTTTAAGTATTGATTAATAATAAATATTATTATGCAAAAAAATATTTCTTCTTTTCCTGCAAAAAACAATTCTATATCACACTCACATGAAAGTGTGAGTGGGTCCTATTGTAAAGATAAGAGAGAAAACAAGTTAGTGGAACGATGGGTCCTATTGTAAAGATAAGAGAGAGAAAAAGTTAGTGGAAAGACCCATTCAATTTTATGTGAATGTAGTAAAGAAATTTTTTTTTGCAGCAAAAATAGAAATATTAAACTCTATTATTATTCAAGGATATAATAAGAAGCGAGTACTTTAATAATTTTAATGTAGAATCAATTGCTTAAGAATTATTGCAAAAATAATTAAAATTTTGCTTATATTTTTATTTGTATATTTGTGTATAAATATTATCTCATTAAAAAAATTAATTATGAAAAAAATTATATTTTATGAAATTGTTAAATATTTATTTATTAGAATAATTTTGAATACATTGGACCCAATAACGAAATATTTTTTTTAAAATTGTAGTTTCGGATAGCCTGATAGTTGGCCCTGGTCCGTAGGGCTTTTGCCCCGTGCGGACCTTTATTATTATAGGCTATTTGGCTTTATAGACTTTTTTCCTTACCCCGTATGGGCTAGGGTCTAAATGAGGGCAGACTAATTTTGAAGCATTATCTCAAATCAAATAGTTATGCATTATATGTTGTCTCTCGTCATCTTACTACCCTCAATACACATTTGTCTAAGATAGTTAATATTTCATATCAAAATGCTTCTCCACATCAAGATAGTTAATATTTCATATCAAAATATGATAGATATAACATGTGAAAGCTAAACTAAAACTAGTTTGTATCATTAAAACATGTGGAGTTCAGAACATATTTTCATGCTTTGCACCATATGTACGGCTAAACTCGACAAACTTATGCTTGAGACTTTCTAATGTCATTAACCATAAATAAGCCAAATTAATTGCATGTAATTAGTAAATAAAAAATAGGTTGGTTGGTAAGCCCATTTGGCTCGAGATCCATAAAGGGGTGGATTAGGCTAGTAAATTATCAACCTGTATCAAAAATAGCTTATCCTAATCCAGTTCATAGATGTTTTGGATAGAAGTGGGCTGATAAAAATTGGTTTGGTCAATTTGAAGTGACAATTTCTTTATTGGCATCCTTCGACCACAATTGTCATTAACATCGTTCGACTATCATTATTGCCTAGTGTTATTAAATTCAACTCAATCGAGTTATTGGCTCATTTGGTTACTAATTTAACCAGTGGATGACAATGAATTGAACCATGCACACTGTAACACCTTGTGTGCACCCGGTGTATTAACTCATTACGGTATCAAGCGTAGCAAAATAATTAAGAAATTATTAAGAAAACTTATCTACTTTGTCACTTACTTTGTGACTTAACCATTTATTCTTATATAAAAGTGAGAGTTAGCTTTTTCCTTTCTTAAACATATTATTCAACTCAACTTAACTTAATCATAATCTGTATAATTTATACCTTCACTTATTCAATTCATTTTTCGATAAATTAAAGCTTTATTAACCCTTAAGTGATTGATATACATGTTGGAACTCTAAATCATGGTGGGAGAGGTTTATATAGCTCCCCTAGGGTTCTATGCTCTTAGAGCATTACTTAATAGCATAATAGAGTCTACAAGTTCTTTCACTTGAGAACATTCAAAAGAAATAGACTCTACCGCCATACTAAGCACTGAACATCAAATAATATTTTTAAGATTGGGATTTCATAGTTTTACCATCAATTCTAACATTTTACTGTGTTAAACTAGACGTCTCAAGCTTTCTAACAAGGTATAGCATGAACCATTTGGTTGAGTATAGCCAGAGTTATACAACTCACAAGACAATTGTCATATACTTACCTTTGTAGGAGAGTCATCCCTCTCATGAGGAATTCTTGTAAATTCATAGGTGCTCTAAAATTACTAGATTTTCGATATGATAAAATATACTCTTTAATCTTCCTAGAAACATATTACATGCCTCAATTGGATTGTACATCTCGAGTTATGCACGTCGCAAGCCAATTACTTCAAACTGGAATTTCGGGAACAGGGCAGCAACTTCAAAACAAAACTGGGATTAATCATCCAATCAATAGGTCATAATATTTTACAAAGTTAAATAACTTTAAGTTAGCTTTAAATAGGTTCAAGTCTCACCCAATTTGGAGCTCTTTAGCTCAAGATATGTGCATTTTACTATGCCACCTCCAACACGCACTAAATAACATTGGCTTGCAGTAGAAGGGCGCTTTAGCATCCTCTAGCGTGCTTTAGCACCCCTAACCTGAGGGTTTCGACCCTTAAGCACATTTTTACGCCCCTGTAGGGCGCTGTAGCACCCTCAACAAGTATTTTACTCTGATTTAGTGTATTATAATGCCCTCAACCCGAAGGTTTTGGCCCTTAGTGCGTTTTAGCGCCCAATAGCATGCTTTAGTGCAATAAGTTCGAAATCTAAGGTTCATTTTGGTGCCTTAGACCCCTTTCGAGAGCATGAATACATTTATTTCACCTAATGAACTATACTATCAATTATATAAAGGAACCAATCATCATATACATATTCTAAATGATTCATCGAAGGATTTATCAGCAATTCATTAGGATGATCATTGTGCAAACTAACCTCTTAGATTCCAAATATATTACATCCAAAAGTATCATATCCATGTACTAAAAAAAAAGTATAATATTCAAGTTTTCATCAATCTAATCTAGCATTACAAGTTATCCAAAACATTTACAAGTTTCCCTAAAAGAATTGGTTTTACAAATCTTTATACCCCAAAGTATACAAGTAAAACCCCTCAAAAGATATAACAACATCCAAAATATATAATTAGCCTCGATGGCTAGATGTGCTCCTTTCTCCGAGATGGGGCAGTCATTCCTCCATGATAACCTAAAACATATCCTCAATAGAGGTGAGAAATAAATCTCAATAAGCCATGGGCCCTTGAAAATTACTTTGCCCTTAAGTTCACTTACATGTATGAAAGGTTACAATAACATGGTATAATATAACATGATATATATATCAAAGGCAACCTAGAGTAGATCATCCGTATACCCAGTTCACTGGAACCATTTGTCGCAACCGTATCGCGACGTGACGGCGAAAGATATTGAAATGGTTAAAACAATGGAGTCGCCACCAATGTTTATTTAGGAAAACATTGGAAAAACCTTTTATTTAAGACAAATGGTCTTTGACAGCAGAAATGGGTTCGGGAGTCGATTACGAGTAGGGAAGGTATTAGCATCCTACACCGTCCGTTAAAAAACGGTTACCTTATATCAATTGTGCAAATTATTGATAAGATTTTAAATATTTATTTCACCCTAAAAAATAAAATAAAATAAAATTGACTATTGGAAAAGAAAACTAATTTTGAAAATGTATTTTTGTGCTTGACGGGATGGTCTCGCTCCGACGTATCCTTCGGTACAATAGGGAACTCAAAGCTACGTCGTTCTGTAGAAAATATTTGTGTGTTGATTGATTTTAATTTTGAAAGTAGTTTTAAAAAAATAATTTGAAGGTTTTGGATTTGATGGTTTCGGAATATCAAACTGTCGCAGCTAAAATAATCTGAAATGATAATTGCAGGATTAACA